CAGGACCAGGATTTGAACCATGGTCAGATAGGTGGGATCCAGCTCATTTAACCACTAGGCTGCAGGGCCGGCCCACCTGGGTTTTAGTTTCTAGACTAGGCCACTTAGTTGTGTGAGCCAAGTACTTCATTTTCAGCCTCAGTTGTTGTTTTTTTTTTAATTTTTTTTTAATTTTTAATTCCTAAGAATTTGGGATTGGCTCCTTGGCACAGTGGTAATACACTGCTCAGGAGAAGCCGGATCCCACATGATGACAGTGGTTCAAATCCCTGGCCTGGTCAGTCCGGAATACACTGTGCACGTAGTGCCCAGGATCCGACAGGCTGGAGGACAGAAGGATGGGTTGGTGTGCCCAGGCCCTGTGGAGAGAGCCCCTCTTGCGCTCACACTGTTTCACATGTATGAGAATACACTCTGTCAAGAATAAAGAACAAAAATACTTAAGGATTAAATAATAAAGCTAACTAGAATACACCTTTGAATGCTTACCATAAGCTGGTCTCTGTGTTGAACTCAATACCTTTATTAAATATTCCTAGCAACATTATGAAGCAGATAGGGCAGTGTGGCCCCGTGGTTAAGAGGCTGGGCTCTGTAGTCTAGATACTTGGATTCATATTCTAGCTCTCCTCTCCTCGATGTCCACTTTCCTCATTTATAAAATGGGGATGTTAATTAAGTATGGATGTCCTGGGGCTTATGTGAAGCATTGTAGAGTAGTAGTTAAGAGATCATCTCAGGGGGAACCAGCAGTTAGCGTAATGGCTATGTCGCTGGACTTCCATGTAGTCGACCGCGGTTCACGTCCCGGACCCGGTAGCTTAAAATCACTCCGAGTGCATGTGCGTGTGGGCCCAGGATCCTGAGAGGAGAATGGAGGAGAAGGGATTGCAGCGTGGTCATCCCCCCTGGGGGATGATTTCTCGCTTTCTGTCTCTCTGTCTCTGTCTGTCTGGCGAGGGGACGCGCCCTATAGTGAAAACTTCTAAAAAAAAAAAAAGACATCATCTCTGGGCACCAGAAGATGGTGTAATGGCTACTTTGCTGGACTCCTACATGTAATTGACTGCGGTTCAAATCTCAGACCCAGTGAGCTAAAACTCATATGGGGCACAAGTGCATGCAAGCCCAAGATCTCAAGTGGAGAACAGAGGAGGAGGGATTGCAGCATGGCCATCCCCCAAGGGAGTGTTTCCTCACTTTCTGTCTCTCTGGTGAGTGCAAAGCCCTATAGAAAAAATCTCTTAAAAAGAGAGAGAGAGCGAGCTCAAGAGATCATCTCTGGGGGGCAGCAAGTATTGTAGTGATTAGGGTGCTGGAATCCCACATGGCTGACTGCAGTTTGAGTCTCAGAACTAGCAGCTTGAAAAATCACACCAGGCTTGTGTGCATGTGTGCCCAAAATCTCAGGAGGAGAAAGGAGGAGAAGGGATTACGCTGTGGCCATTCCCCTTGGCAGGTGATTTCTCACTTTACCTCTGTCAGTTCCCCTTTGGTGTGTGCATGTGTCCTATGGCAAAACAAAACAAAACAAAACAAAAACAACTAAACAAACAAAAAACCAGCCCCCCCCCCCAAAAACACCCAAAACCCAAACAAGCAAACAAACAAACAAAAGATTGTCTCTGGGGCCAAGTTGTCTATGTCTAAATGCCGACTCCTCTACTTACGAATGAACATCTTTTAGCATCTGTTTTCTTATCTCTAAAGGGATAGATAAAGTTGTGCCCAGGTCCTAAGGTTGCTGGGAGGATTAAATTATTGGTGGAAAGCATGTGTATGTGCCTGGCACGTGGAGATGTTAGCGTTATGCCAGTCCACCCGTTTCTCATGCCGCAGATTCAGGGGTCCTCTGACACTCCCCATCTCATCCCTGAAGTGGGTCATATTCGAGATACTCACCAATCTGTCCATTTCCTTCATCTTGACTATCACAACCTGTTGTCAAGCCAACATCGTCTTATGCCCACACTCTTCCAGCAGCTTCCTAGCAGGTCTCCTTGCTTCTACTTCTCTCTCTCTCTCTTTTTAAAGAATTATTTATTTTCTTCTATTTATTATTTTCATTATTATCATTTCAGTTTCCTATAGAGAGAGAGAGAGAGAGAGAGAGAAAGAGAGAAGGAAAGTGAGAAAGCAAGTCACCAGGTGCACGACGTGGACGGAGATCAGGCGTGCAGGAGCCCAGTGCCTTAACGATGATTCCACCTCCTGGCCCCTACTTCTGTCATTCTAATAACCTATTTTTCTCACAGAAGCCAGAATGTTCTTTAAAAAAAAAAAAAAAATATATGGGCAGGCTGATAGCATGGTGGTCAAGGAAGGCAGTTGGAGCCCATATGCCCAGTTGGAGACCCAGGCATGATGGCTTGAAAAACATTCCAGTGTGTGCATGTCCAAAATCTCAAAAAAAGGAGAAAGGGAGAAGGAAGGATTGCAGCGTGGCCATTCTCCACTGGGAGTGCTTTCTCAGTTTTATTTTCTCTCTGTCTCTCTTCAGTGAGTACACGTGTCCTCTAGCAAATTAAAGCTACAAACTAAGGGACAAAAAAACACACATTTGAGATCGCCTTAGTTATGTACTGCTACATAACAAATTATCCAAAAAGTTACTGTATTAACACGTATCATCTCAGTTCCTGTGAGCTGGAATGTTGGGAGAGGCTTACTTAGATGGTTCTAGATTACTCATGCCCCTTGGGCAAGAAACATAGGAGTCGCAGCCTTTCTGAAATCCATCAAGGATCAGGTTAGCAGTTCCTTGATTAAGTATTTTTGTTGTTTGTTTGTTTTTCCTATAGGGTGCCCATGCTCACCAGAAAGAAACAGGGAAATTAAGAAATCACTCCCCATGGGGAATGGCCACACCACACCTTCTCCTCCAATGTCCTTTCAGGGTTTTGGGCACGTGCACACATGCACCAGGTGTTATTTTTCAAGCCTCTGAGTCTGGGACTTGAACTGCACAGTTGACCATGTGGGATCCAGTGTCCTAACCTCCATGGCACCTTTGATAAAGACTTAAGGATGTCTAGTGTACTTGGAGAGGTTTCCAAATGGGAACCTGGAACCTTCTCCTGTGGGTCAGCCTTGCAGAGGATCATGGTTCACCACTATGCCACTGTCTATTCCCACATTTTGTATTTTATTTCAGAGCCTGGAACCAAGTGTTAAAACTCTTGGTATTGGGCCAACCCCATAGCCTAGGGGTTGAGGGAGTTGGATCCCACATGGCTGATGATGGTTTGAATCCCAGCCCTAGCAGCTTGAAAAACACTCTGGGTGAATGTGCATTCATGCCCCCAAAAAACCAATAGGAAGGAGAAATGAAAGAGAAGAGATTGTGATGTGACCACAGCTCATTGGGAGATTCTTTCTCCTTCTCCCTCTATCTCTTTATCTCTCTCTCTGGAGAGTGCATGTGCCCTCTGGCAATTAAAAAAAAAACCTGTTGGCATTTAATTTACTCTGAGTAGGTGCAGCATAACTTAGGTTTAATACGTAGATCACCATGGTCGCTCTAAGGTTTCTAGCTTGTTCAGTAAACAGGAATGGCTCAAGTACTGTTATTTTGGTTTTTTTTTTTTTGGAGAGGTTTTTTTTTTTTTTTTTCCCCATAGGGTATGGGGCCTTGCCAGACAGACAGAGAAAGGCAGGCGAGAAATCACCCCCCAGGGGAGATGGCCATGCTGCAATCCCTTCTCCTCCATTCTCTTCTTGGGATCTTGGGTACGCACGCACACGTGCCCAGTGTGAGTTTTAAACCACTGGGTCCGGGACTCGAACTGCGGTCGACTACATGGGAGTCCAGCAATATAGCCATTATGCTAACTGCTGGTCCCCTCAAGTACTGTTTTATGTTATGTCATAGGGAAAATCATGGCATTTTTTTCTATGTTTTTCTATGCAGAAATGCATCTTGGGGACCAGCAGGTAGTGTTAAGGTGCTAGACACTCCCACGTGGCCAATCATGGTTCAAGTCCCAGAATTGGTGGCTTGCTTTCTTACTTTCCCACTCTCTCTCACTCTCTGTTTGTGTGTCTCTCTCTAGTCAAATTAAAGTAAATGAATGGATAAATAAATAATTCTAAAAAAGAAAAGCATCATGACTTTCCTGATGACCCTATACAACCCATGAACATGGTAGTCAGAGAGGGATACAGGGGAGGAAGATGCTGTCTACTCTCACATTAGATCAAGTCACACAAGAGGAAACTAGAGCTGAAGCACTCTGGTTTTTCTCGGGTTCTGTGAATGTAATGATCTGTCCTCCTACTTTTCTCTTAACTTTGAGATTTGTTGAATGACCTGGAATGCCCCTGGAACTGTATGCCCCAGATCACTGTCCTCAGGTTAACTTGGAATTTGAATGGAGACATTGTCTTAAGCACTGAAGCAGAATACTTTGCTGGTTGTCTCTAGGTTGACATATCTAAGACTACTGATATAGTCTGTTAGGCTACTCTGATGTACCTGGTTTAATTTTCTTTCTTTTGATACAACTTTAAAAAGATAGTAATGAGGGACCAACAGATGCTGTAATGGTTACATCATTGGACTCCCATATAGTTGAGTGTGGTTCAAGCCCTGGACCTGGCGGCCAAAAATTCATTCTGGGCTCAAAATCCCAAGAGGAGATGGGGACCAGCAGGTGATATGGTGGTTAAAGCTCTGGAGACTCCCACATGGCTGACCACGGTTCGAGTCCCCGACTTGGTGGCATGCTTTCTCACTCTCCCTTTCTCTCTGTGTGTGTGTTTCTCTCTGGTCAAATTAAAATAAATGACTGAATAAATAAAATTAAAATAAATAATTCTTTAAAAAAAAAAATCCCAAGAGCAGAATGGAGGAGAAGGATTGTGGCATGGCCAACCCTTTGGGGAGTGATTTCTTGCTTTCTGTCTCTCCGGCAAGTGCATGCACCCGATAGCAAAAATTTCTCTTTCAAAACAAAATTGAGATAAAATTTAAGCAAGTTACTTTTATCTTTTATTTTTAGATCACCACACTTATTAATCATAAGGACAATACCAAAAAGTCTGATAAAACTCTGCAAGCAATTCAGCGTGTAGGACAAGCTGTGAACTTGGCAGTTGGAAGATTTGTTAAAGTCGGGGAAGCTATAGCCAATGAAAACTGGGATTTGAAAGAGGAAATACATATTGCCTGTTTTGAAGCTAAACAAGCAGGTATGTGGGTATTGATTTTGAAGGCTATGCATGTTAATTTTTCTGCTTTGGATATGAAGACAAATTGCTGTTTTGTCTTGAGTAGAGATGTGTGCCATGATATAGCCCTATGATTATGGGTGCCTAGGATATTAAAGGCCTGGATTAGTTTCTAGGAATACTGAATTTCTCCTGGCTCAGTTCCTTAATCTGAAACATAGGACTCTTTCACTGGGCACATAATTAGTTTGTCATGCTCACCGTCAGCCATTGAGATGATGAGGAACTTAGAGCAGTGTGAGACCTTGAGCATGTTAGCCTACTTTCCGCCATGTTGGAAATGGCGTAAAACTTCACATCCACCACCAGCAAACAAATCATAGTGACTTCACACTTCGTGATGTTTCACAGTTCTCTTTAGTTGGTGGCAGAGAAGTCTTTGAGATCATGGGGTGTTTTGACAGCTATAGTTAGGTCAGCTTTGTTAAGTATCGTTTATCCATTTATCTTTTCAAAAATATTTACTGAGTGCTGGTGATATGCAAGGTGTTGTAGGCTATAGAAATGTAACTAGGCACAAACCAGTCAAAGATCTGTCCTCATGATGCTTGCGTTCTGGTGAGGGAGATGGCCCATAAACAAATGAATAAATAAGTATGTAATAATGGTGATTGTTATCATGAAGAAAAAAGTGAAACAAAGCAGAGGTTAGGAGACCAATGGAAGTGCTGTTTTAGAGAGGGTGAGATTTCTCAACTTTGATGCTGTTGAGATTTTGGGCTAGATGATTCTTTGATGGGGGGGGTTGTCCAATACATTGTATTTAGCTGCATAATTAGTTTCTTCCTAATAGATGCCAGTATATTTCCTCTCCCCATGTGTGGAAACTGAAAATGTCTCAAGATGCTGCCTAATGTTCATTCATTCTTTCTTTTTAAAAAATTATTTAATTATTTTTTCATCCTTGCACATGTGCCCAGCATGATTTTCAAGCTGTGAGGCCTGGGACTTGAACTATGGTTGGCCATGTGGGAGTCCAGCATCTTAGCCATTATGCCACATGCTGGCTCCTATTATTATGTTTTAATTTGACCAGAGAGAGACAGAAAGAGAGAGAGGGAAAGTGAGAAAGCAAACTGCCAGGTCCAAGACTCGAACCAGGGTTGGCCATGTGGAAGCCCAGCACTTTAACCACCGTACTTTCTGCTGGTCCACAGCAGAATGGTCTTTAAGAGGTTAGAATGACCCCCAGTTGAGAACTACTGAGATAGGCAACTAGGAGGACTCTCTAAGGAAGGCGTAGTAGATAGAGCAGGGACAGCAATGAAACGAGGGCCTGGGCCGTGAATACCTGGGGAAAGGTCCTTCCAGGCCAGAAGAAGAACTAGAAAAGATAAGGCCACCTAGGCTATGACAGGAAATTTGGGCCACATTCTAAGTGTAGTAAAGGGGCTCTTGAGTGGCTTTATTCAGGGTAGTGACATAATTTCACTTATATTCTGAAAGGGTAATGTGGCTCCTTCATAGAGAATAGGTTTTAGGGGATTTGAGGGTGGAATTAGGTAGACCAGTTGGGAGGGCTATTGCCATAATCCAGGCAATAAACAAGTATGATCCAGGCTAGGTGATAGCATTCTAGGCTGTGAGAGGTGGTTGCATTTCGATGTATTCTCAAGGTGCAGCTAATAGGGTTTGCTGATGTGGGATATGACAAAAAGAAGAGTCATAGGGTAACACCAAAGTTTGGGGTATACACAGGTGGGTAAATGGCAATGTCGTTTACTGAGATGGGCAGCCCTAAGGGAAAAGGCTTTATCAGGGAAGAAAGTGGATGTGATAGGGCCAAGTGACTATAGAGGGGCCAACCAGATCAGATACTGTCCTAAATGTTACATGAATGACCTCAGATACTATTCTTTAGCTAGTGGGGAGTCATTGGAGGATTTTTTTTTTAAGAACTGTTTATTTCATCTTATTTATTATTATTATCATTTTTTTATTTTTAAAAATTTGACCAAACAGAGACAGAGAGAGAAAGGGAAAGTGAGAAAGCAAACTGCCAGGTCTGAGACTCGAACTGTGGTTGGCCATGTGGGAATCCAGCGCCTTAACCACCATGCCACCTGCCAGTCCCCATTGAAGAATTTTGAGCCAGATGAGAGACATTGTTTTGTGTCAGAAATCTTCCTGATAGTATGGATGAAACGAATGAATTGGGATAGGTTGAGACCAAAAGGAAGGAGCTTAATATGGAAGCTTTTACAACAAAACCGGCTAGTCCAAGACACTGTAATAGGGCTACACAGGGCAGGAAGTGTACACAAATACTCATTAAAGTGGTTAAATAGATAGAGCTGGGTTGTTGACTAAAGAAAAGAGGACTCTAGGTGGACTCTTGGCTTGCTAGTCCTTCACTGGGGTAGGGAATAGATTTTATGTGTGAAGCGGAGGGAATAGCCTCACTCTATTCATAATTTATGTTCTTCCTACTTTCATAAAGAATTGAAAGAGTTTACAATAAAAGGCATGCTCAATAAACTTACCACTAAAAGAGGTGAAGAAAATAAATATACTAGAAATTTTGGCAAACATTATTATCTTAATTAAAGTAAAATTTATCTTGTATTTCCTGGGAGGTTAGACAGAACAGTGGGAAACAAAGGGTTATACAATTCTCATGGTTTGTTGAAGGGAAACAAATCAGCTTGTAAAAGGAGAGAGAGACTTTTTTTCCTGGCACCAAACTATTGTGTGGGTGCTTATAAAACAGACGCTACATAATGCAGTGGACAATTCAATAGAAAATACAGAGGTGTTCTTTATAGTACTGCTGCTTATACCATCCTTTGAAAAAGCAAGAATTTTTTTTTTTTTTAATTTGACCAGAGAGAGACAGAGAGATAGAAAGAGAGAGAGAGAGAAAGAGAAAGTGAGAAAGAGAGAAAGGAAACCACCAGGTCTGGGACTTGAACCATGGTTGACCACATGGGAGTCTTTAACCACCATACCACCTGCCAGCCCCCACCCCCATTTTTTTTAAATAACCTAATCTCTGCATATGGGAAGGGACCAAGCAGGATGTGAATACCAATAGCCGGGGATCATTATGGGCTACCTTGGAGGCTGGCTACCACAGGCTCGATCTATTGGTAAACTTTAGCTTATTGTCATTATACACGGATTCCCAAATCTGTATCACCAGTTCATATCCCTGGCTTATTTTTCAGTGTATTCTTTTGTTATTTTCAAACTCCTGTGTTCTGAAACTAAACATATCTCCCATGCCCTTCTGATTTTTTTCTTTAAAATGACTTAGGTTCACAAACTTGTAGCCATTGTTATCACTCTTTCTTTCCTTCTTATCCCTGGTCAGGTACTAACTGTATATTTTCTTTCCTTGGTATCTCCCAAATCCTCTGTTTCTTTATATTCCCGTGGCTGCCATCCTAGTAGGATCCTTTCTATACACTCTCAGAACTGAAATAGTTCCTGGCCTTAAATTGCGTCTTTCCAGTCCACTGTCTATGCTTGCACCAGACTGATCTTTCTAAAGACTGACTTTCACCATGTCACACCCTGTGTTGTGCCCATTAAGATTCTAGTGTTTTTTGTTTTGTTTTGTTTTTAAGAGAGATTTTTGATGTAGGGTGTGTGTGCTTGCCAGAGACAGAGAGACAAAGTGAGAAATCCCTCTCCTCCATGGGGAATGGCCACACCACAATCCCTTCTCCTTCATTCCCCTCTTGAGATTTTGGGCATGCATGCACACATGCCCAGAGTGAATTTTAAGCCGCTGGGTCCAGGACTTGAACTGTGGTAGACTACATGAGAGTCTAGCAACGTCTCCTAAGATTCCAATACTTTTATTTTTATTTATTTATTTATTTTAGAGGTTTTCGCTATAGGGCACATGCGCTCGCCAGACAGACAGAGAGAGACATAGAGACAGAAAGCGAGAAATCACCCCCCCCAGGGGGGATGGCCACGCTGCAATCCTTTCTCCTCCATTCTCCTCTCAGGATCTTGGGCACGCACACACACGTGCCCGGTGTGAGTTCTAAGCCACCGGGTCCGGGATGTGAACTGTGGTTGACTATGCGGGAGTCCAGCGACATAGCCATTACACTAACTGCTGGTTCCCTCCAGTACTTTTATTCAAGAGCTTTACCCTGTGGGCTGATACATTGTTTTATGTGTATCTAAGAGTTGACAAGAGGACTTTTGTGAGAAAATCAACCCATAATGTGCACAAGTTTAGTTAGAATTTTAAAAATGACCTCAAATACTACAAGATGATTAAAAATAAATATTTTTTAAAAATCTTACTAACTTTTCACAGTGAGGATGTTAGGAGAACATAATAGTCTGGTTTCACCTTTGAGGAGAGCAAACTCTCGTATTGTTTTATTAATGGGTAATTGCCGTTATAGAAATCAAAAGTCTGGAGAGCAACAGTAAAGAAGATAATTTTTCTAGAGGAGCAGGAGTTAATTTGGTTGAATACTTTACTCTGGGCGTGGTAAGAAGTTTAAATTCATACTGGAAACCTGAAAGAGGGTCAGCCTGTGGTTTGATGTCTCCGAAGGGAGCCTTTTGTTTACTTTCCCCCTCAGAGGCCACACTGACTGACAGACACACTTCTCATTGTTTGCTTTTGCCTGTCAACAATTCTGCCCACTCCCTCTTCTCATTGAAGATGTCATCCCATGGGGGTCCAAAGCCTTGTCTTTCTTCTCTCCCTGGATATCACTAAAAATCCTAGTCCCTTTAGGTCATGGAGACTGGCAGTGACTCCTTCCCCAATTCCCCCTTTCCTGGCCCTAGTCCAAGCTTTGGCACGTGCTTACTGTTCTACTTTGAAGTCCTCTCTCCCCCCCACCCCCATAATTATTTTTATTTAACTTTATCTATCTAGCTGTCTTTTTTCCCCAAATAATTATTTATTTATTTAATTCCATTTATTATTGTTATGATTATTTTTTTAAATTTGACCAAAGAGAGACAGACAGAGAGAAAGGGAAAGTGAGAAAGCAAAGCTGCTAGGTCTGGGATTTGAACCATTGTCAGCCATGTGGGAATCCAGTGCCCCCAACCACCACACCACCTGCTGGCCCCTCTATCTTTCTATCTTTAATTTGACCAAAGAGCAACAGAACAAGAGAGAGAGAGAGAGAGAGAGAGAGAGAGGAAAAGCAAGAAAGCAAGCTGCCAGGTCTGGGACTTGAACCATGGTCGGCCATGTGGGAGTCTAGTACCTTTAACCACCACACCACCTGCTGGCACCCCTCTTTGGTTTTTGATTCTTGGGGTTTCTGTTTTTGTACAGGAGGAGGCTTTTATATTGTATCATTTGCCATACCATTGGAAGCAGAAAATAGGATATTTTTCAAACTAGGTGAAGGCAAAAATTTATCATACTTCTTAAGACTGTGCTCTTAGTTTGTGATGAGAAAGCTTCCTCTGATAATTCTTCCAGTCATCAAAGTAAAACTGTTTTTTGTTTTTGAAGTAAGACTCCAAGGCCAAGTCTCTCTACTGTGCACATTACCTTCAAGATTAGAGAAAAGCCTGGATTTCTATTTAAGTATGTCTTATTCCCAATTTAACTCCCCCTCTTGCCTTTCTTCCTAGGAGAAACAATTGCGGCACTTACAGATGTAACCAGCTTGAAGCATCCGGAATCCGATGGCCAGATCACAGTTTTTACAGACAAAACAGGAGTCATAAAGGCTGCAAGATTACTTCTTTCTTCAGTGACCAAGGTGTTGCTGCTGGCGGATCGAGTCGTCATTAAACAGATCATCACATCAAGAAATAAGGTATTTGCTTTTCTGGTGTTGCTGTACTTTTGTCTGTCAAGGTTGTTCAAAGGCTTCTAGGTTATTTGCACATAATCTGAAAATCCTTGTCTAACCTTTATAACTCTAGTTCTTTGTTTTATACCTTTCATTCCTAAGTCGTGTGTCTACTGGGTCTATACTTTTGAATGCAAATACTGTTTCTTCAGAGATTCATTATCCACATGTCCAGGCTTACTGGTAAAGCTTTAACGGTGTATAACATTTGAGAAGAATAGCCAGGTACCATGACATGTATGTAGTAGAAATGGGATCCTTCAATAATGTTTGTTTGTACAAATAATAACAACTTAAAAATTAAGTCATTTGAAACCATAATTATCCATAGCTACAAAATCTTTGTATGCAGAGTCCCTAAGTAGATTTAAACGTTTCTGGTCTGAAACTTCCACCATCTCTCAGATAATGGTAGTGGTCCTAGATCATCCTGGGGCCTGGGTCATGTACCCACACTTTTTTCGCTGGATAAGAAGAGATCATTTCTAGACAAGAAAGAGGACAATCAGCCAGGGAAGGGGGTTCATACTACCTGATGAGTACTGAATGAATCAAAAAGTAGAAGCTTAAAGAGAAAACGAAATTGGAGAGCTAGATCAAGCAGTGCTAGGGGAGCAGAAAGAACCTTTCTCTCTTTAAAGCTGAGGTTCTGCTCGGTGGGGACAATCCACCTTATCTGTGTTAGTCGCCTGGACTTCCGGAGCTGACAGGGCAGATTAACACGCCAAATAACCATCATATGCTCATTAAAAATAAGTGAACACAGGATATCTGTGGGTTTTTTTGTTTTGTTTTGTTATTTTTACCTATCTCAGTCTGGCTAAAACTCAGCCAGTACTGTTATTTTAAAGAAAAGTATTCCACAATGGGTTTCACATCTCTTTGCTTTATTTCTTATGTCAAGAAAACACATAACAGTGTCTGTTGGCTCCTCTACAGATTCACGCCCTCTCTTCACCCCTGACTGCCCAAAACTTCCTGGCAATTAATTTATTCCACACAGGCAATTCCTGACTGATCTGAACTGGTTTCCTGCTCTTAAAGTCTCAGACCTCCCTTCCCACTCCTCACTCAGCAGATGGCTGAAACTTCCACTTAACTGAGAAGATTTAGATTCTTCCAGTTCTGGTTATTTGAACCTTAAAGCTTCAGTATGTCTCTCTGAGTTCTCTGTAGATTTGATGACCACAGTCCTGCTCCCTCGGACCTTCTCCAGACTTGGCAACATAAACGATCTGTTCTTTTGTATATTTACTCGTTTCTTTCATTTGTTTTCCTTTTCAAGTTAGCCCAAGTTTTCTCATCTTAAGAATCAGTCATTCCTTAAATGATTCTAACCTTTGCTTCTACTTCCCTGAACCCCTTTTCTCTGTCTTTGGCTCTTCCTTTTCAGTTTCCCCCTAGAATGTAGAATTTCCCTTCTTTTTCCTCTCTCTACTTAGCCTTGTCAATCTTAGTCTCTGCACATCTGTTACCTGGTAATAAATATTCCTTGTTTTGCAGGTTCTTGCAACAATGGAAAGACTAGAGAAAGTGAATAGCTTTCAGGAGTTTGTCCAGATATTCAGTCAATTCGGAAATGAAATGGTGGAGTTTGCACATCTAACTGGAGATAGACAAAATGTATGTGTTTACCACTTTCGAAAACCTTCAGATAAATGTAAACTTTTTAGTTTGGATGGAAGAGTGATCATGTGGGGTGTTAATAGTTCTTCACTTGTTAAATCAGTATCTTTGCTTTTGAAAGCCTTTTATAAATATGCCGGGGTAAACTAAGTAGATCTGTATGTCTTTTTAGCACACATTTGTGTTTCTTTTTTTTTTAGAATTATTTTATTTTACTCATTGTCATTAATTTTTTTGTTGTTGTTGTTTTGTTTTGCTTTGGTTTGTTTTTTTTTGGGGGGGAGAGGTTTTATTTTGCTATAGGGCGCATGTGCTCGCCAGAGAGACAGAGAGAGAACAAGAAATCACCCCCCAGGGGGGATGGCCATGCCGCAATCCCTTCTCCTCCATTCTCCTCTCAGGATCTTGGGCATGCACGCACATGCACCCGGCATGAGTTTTAAGCCACCGGGTCTGGGACTTGAACCGCAGTCAACTACGTGGGAGTCCAGTGACATAGCCATTACGCTAACTGCTGGTCCCTGTTTTGTTCTGTTTTTGAAGTTGACCAGAGAGAGACAGAGAGAGAGAGAGAGAGAAGGAAAGTGAGAAAGCAAGCTGCCAGGTTCAGGACTTGAACCACGATCAACTGTGTGGGAGTCCGGCTGCCTTAACCACCACACCACCTGCCAGCCCCATGTTTCATTTTTTTTTTTTTAAGAGAGATTTTTGCTATACGGCACATGTACTCACTGAAGGGACAGAGAGAGACAGGGAGACAGCCAGAAATCACCCCCCAGGGGGAATGGCCATGCCACAGTCCCTTCTTCTCCATTCTCCTCTTGAGATTTTGGGCATGCATGTACACATGCCTAGCGTGAGTGTTAAGCCACTGGGTCTGGGACTTGAACTGTGGTTGACGATGTGGGAGTCCAGCAATATAACCATTACACCATCTGTTGATCCCACATTTCCTTTTTTTATGAAGCTTTCTAGCTGACTCTGTCAGAGCTCAGGCAGACAAACTGAGTCATCATATGTATTATTATAATATTTTGTTTTATATATATATATTTTTTTCTGTTATTCTTAGGACATTAGATTAATAGCAATAAACCAAATAATTATTTATTCCCAATGGCTAGATATTAGGTACTTAATATACTAATTTCATTTAATTTCAAAACATCCCCATGAGGTAGGCATTGTCATTACTGTTTTATGCATGAGGAAGCTGAACCTGAGAGATCAGGAAGCTGTCACAGGGCCACTCTGCTAGCAGATTAAACTCCGTTATGTCTGGTTCTAAACCTTGTACTCCTCAGGCTACAGCATAGTATTAGTTCTTCATGAATCTGTTTCTCAATTCAGACTATAAGCACCTAGGTTGAACTTTCTTATATGCCAGACAAGGTGTGCAGAGAGGAAAGGAGAGGAAGCATGAAAGCATCACTCCCCCACAGGACCTGGTCACTCTTCAATCCTTTTTCCTCTTGTCTATCCGATCAGGATCCTGGGTGTGCATGTACACTTGTGCCCCGTGTATTTTCCAAGCTGATGAGCTGGAACTCAAACTCTTTTTGGGCCATGTGGGATCTGGCTTCCTCTGCATAGCACCTGGCCACTGCACAGGACTGGGCCACTGCACTACAGGGCTAGTCCATAAGCTCCTAGTTATAGGGAGGCAGAAGACCGTATTATAGCCAGGAGCGACTTTTCCTTATTGGAGTATCTAGGCATCTTCTCAGCAAGTTAAATAGATAATAATTGACTATTTCTTGAGATCTGGATATCACTTGAATAAGTGTAGTGTGACCCATAGGTTCCAATGCCACCAACCTTCAGTTATGCTTTCTGTAGCATCCTCTTCAGCTTTTGGATACAAATGGAAAACTCACTATTATTTAGATTTAGAGTTAGAAATTTGGTATGGAGAAGACTAAAGATTTTTAAAATTTTTATATGTCTTAAATATTTCAAAACTTTAAAACAATTTATTATTTTAAAAATTATGCTGTAGGGCATGCGCATTCATCAGAGAGAGACATAGAGAGGGAAAGTGAGAGAGCATGGCTGGGACTTGAACCACAGTTGTCTGTGTGGGAGTCCAGCGCCTTGACCATCACACCACCTGCTGGTTTTAAATTTTTTAATACGTTGGCTGAAGAGGTATCTGTTTTTATAATTTAACACATCCAATGTGTAGCCTCTGAAACTTACTAGCAGCCATTTTGGCATCTTGGTGTTTGCTAAGTCTATGCCTGGATCATTTTTGTGGAATATATGTCTAGAGTTCAAGCACTTTCCTTTTTAGAATCCTCAAAATATTCTGAAAATATTTGTAGGCCAGATTCATTCATTCAGTTCATCTAGCAAGTGTTCAGCCGCTTACTGTGAACCAGGTACTCTTCTTCTAGTTTTGGGGACAGCACAGTTTATGAGAGAGACAAAACCTTCTGCTGCCACGGAGCTCCCATTTTGGTGAGGGTGGGAGGAGGTAGATGGTAAAACAGAAACATGCGTGGTATGTGAAAAGAGCACCAACGGGGTCAGTGGACGGGGTCAGAGGGAGCCCAGGGGGAACAAATAGAAGACGAAATCAAGTAATGAAGAGGCCAGACTGTGTAAGGACCTTGGCTTTGAGTAAAGTAGTGAGCCCCTGGAGGTTTAGAGTAGGGGAATGACATTTTCTGATTTATACTTGAGCAGGATTACTCTAGCTGCCACACCAATGATACTAGGGAAAGTCATGACATATTTCTTTTTTTTAGAAAGGTTTTCTTTTTTTTTTTTGCTATAGGGCACGTGTGCTCGCCAGACAGGCAGAGATAAACAGAGAGACAGAATGCGAGAAATCCCCCCCCAGGGAGGATGGCCACGCCGCAATCCCTTCTCCTCCATTCTCCTCTTGGGATCTTGGGCACGCACGCACACGTGCCTGGCGTGAGTTTTAAGCCACCGGGTCCAGAACGTGAACCACGGTCGACTACATGGGGGTCCAACGACATAGCCATTACGCTAACTGCTGGTCCCATGACATATTTTGATATATTTTTCTAATATGCAAAAATGTCATGACTTCCCTGACAACCCTAGTTTGTAGAGAGACAAGGACAGAGTAGGGAGACAACTTAGGAGGTTATTGCAGTAACCCAGTGAGAGATGATGGTGCCTTGCATCAAGGCAGTAGACAGTAGTGAGAGCCTTACCCAAGCCTGGGCAAATAGCTTCTAGATATTGGGATGCTTTGCTTAGTGCTTCTGGGGCCATCTGGGTTTTATGGAGGCCTCTGTTATGTCCTGTTGAGCAGCCTTTCACAAGCTGAGAGGCCTTCTTATTTGTTCTTTTGCCATCGCTGTAGAGTATGGTATCATATTGGCTTATAGGTGTTATTATGTGGCACGCTCACTTGATTCATGTCAGCTAGACCCACAGATTGTTTTGCAAGTTCTTTCTAAAATGTTAAAGACAAGAGGAATGGGTGGACATTGGAGAAGTGCTCTCGACTTCTATTTCTGATAGATACTTGTCATAGATACTCACACCATCCAAGTTTTTTGGGATGTGACCTGAATTAGCTTTTGTGTCTTATGCACTTTCATGTTCACTAGTAATCCCGTCTCTGTCTCTTACTAGAGAAAGCTATATATTGGGGTACAAGTAAGTGAGAGTGATAGTATTCCAGGGATAACTCTGAATCCATTCTAATTTGTTAAAAACATTTTTTATTTTCAAAGGCAAATTATTCTCAAACTTTAGGTCTTCCCCATTGGTAAAAAAGGGATTTTTAACCCAACTCATAAAAAAGACTAATGTAATTGGTGAAAATTTTATGTTATTTAAACATCAGTGTCCATAAATAAAGTTTTATTGGAACTTAGCCATGTTCATTTGTTTATGTATTGTCCATGATTGCTTTCACATTATAAAGACAGAAGTGAATAGTTGTGACAGAGACGGTAAGGCCCAGAAAGCCTAAAATATTTATCTGCCTTCTATTAAAAACATTTGTGGACTTCTGATTTAGATGTAGTAACCAAATTATTATTAAAATATTTGGTTGTAGGTTTGAGCAGCAATACCTGAATATCTCCCATAATAGCACACATCTTACCGAGAACTCTATGAAGAAAAACTAAAAAAAAAGAAAAAATTCAAAACACTGTGCTTGTTTAAGTGGTAATCTAGTTGGGGGAATATATATACTCAAGAAACATTTATTTTTTTTAAAGATTTTTTGCCATAGGGGGTGTGTGCTTCCTGGGGAGGGAGACAAAGAGAGAGGGAAAGTGAGAAAATACCCCCCCTCTAGGGCGAGATGGCCACACTGCAATCCCTTCACCTTCACTCGCCTCTCAAGATTTTGGGTACACACACATACACTCTTGGTGTTTTTCTGAAGCTCCCCTGGCACTCAAATGCAGAATTGGCCATATGGGATCCAGCACCTTAACCACCATCTGCTGGATCCCAAGAAACAATTTTTTTCTCCATATTTACTGATCTATTACGGAGAATTTTTTTATGTTAATTTTTTTCCAGAGATTTTTGCTATAGGGCACGTGCACTCGCCAGAGAGACAGCAAGTGAGAAATCACACATCCCCACCTCCCTGGAGGAGACGGCCACGCCTCAATCCCTTCTCCATTCTCCTCCTGGAATTTTAGGCAGGCACATACATTCCTGGCGTGAGTTTCAAGTCACCTGGCACTTGACCTGCAGTTAGTCATGTGGGAGTCCAGTGCCTTAACCACTCTCTGGTGGCCCTTAATTTTAAAAAAAAAAAAAATTTTTTTTTTTTTTTTAGAGGTTTTTTTTATAGGGCCCATGTCCTTTCCAAAAAGACATAGGGCACATGCACTTACCAGAAAGACAGAGACAGAGAGACCGAAAGCGAGAAATCCCCAGGGGGGGATGGCCACGCCACAATCCCTTCTCCTCCTTTCTCCTCTCGGGATTTTGGGCACGCATGCACACGCGCTCAGCAAGAGTTTTAAGCCACCGGGTCTGGGACTTGAACCGTGGTCGACTACATGGGAGTCCAGCGACATAGCCATTACGCTAACTGCTGGTCCCATTTAAAAAAAAAACTTTGATAAAGGGTAAATATGCTTGTAGGAAAGAGGCAGAGAGAGAGAGAGAGAAGGAAAGTAAGAGCATTCCACATGGGTACGATCATGCTGCAGTCCCTCCTCTACTTCTACTTTTGGAATTTTGGGCACACATGCACCTGCCTCATTTTCAAGCTGCTGGGTCTGGGATTTGAACCATGCAATCAGCCATGTGGGATCCACTAGCCTTAGCCACCATGCCATGGGCTGATCCACAAAGAACATTTTAAAGGACACAAATAAATAGCCAAATATGTAGGATAAGGCCTAGAAGGATGATGAGCACAGAGGCTTCCATCCCCAAGAAGCTGGGGTACTCATGAAATTTCTTCAGAACATTTCAGGCAGTGTATTGGTTAAAATTAGGACAAACAAACCTCATAATAAAATGCATAATAGTTAGAGGGGATTAATCAGACACATTTCTTGAAAGAACTGACTTCTAAGGATCTGTTTTGAAGGAAATAATAGCCCATAGATGCTCAATAAATAAGCCACATTTATTTACGTAAGCTGTAGGGTGGTGGTTTCTGGTTAGGAGTGAGCTGTTTCCATTTGGTCACATGATCATAACTGTGCAGACCACCAAACGTTAGGCAGAGGGAGGCCTCCACCTACAGCACAGTCCCTGCTATCTCTCTCTACTCTCGTGCCGATGGCGATGGAAGTCATGACATTTTATAAAACTTTATCCTAGTTTTTCTTTTATTTGTAAAGAATTGATTTAACTTTATTTAGTTAGTTATTTTAATTTGATCAGAGGGGGACAGAGAGAGAGAGAGAGAGAGAGAAAGCTGCCAGGTCCAGGACTAGAATCACAGTCAGCCATGTGGGAGTCCAGTGCCCTTAACCACCACGCCACCTGCTGCCGCCCCCCACTTTGTTTTCCCCATTTAATATTGTTGGATTTTAAAGTATTGTTATTGTTGAGTATAAGGTTTTTTTTTTTTTTTCAAGAAGTTATTGACATGATCTTAGACTACTCAGTGATTTTATTTCATTTTCAGGATCTGAAAGATGAAAAGAAAAAGGCAAAAATGGCAGCAGCGAGGGCGGTTCTTGAAAAGTGTACGATGATGCTTCTCACAGCTTCAAAGGTAAGAAGAGTTCTGTTTTGTTGTGTTGTAAGTGAATGATTAGAAAACCTGCTTAAATATGCATCTAATTTATATAGATTTTACATTTTTCGAAAAGATCGTAGGGGCGACTTAGAGCAAACTCTTAAGTATTCAGGTCTCAGTTGTTAGTTATAAGAATGCTAGCTTTCTGTCCAATTCCGAACAGTGATTCCTCCCTGAGTCAGCTTTGAGCAGCTGAGCTCCTGACTGGGTACCAGGGACTGTGACTTGCTGCCTGTCCGACAGTCGCTACCTGCAGGGTTTTGCAGTTCCCACTGAGGAGCCAGTTCTTGTGCTCTTGAAAAAGCCAGGCAAGTTAGGATCTGTTCAGTACCAGTGGAGTCTGAAGCCAGCCTTTGGTTATTCTATAAATTCATTCCTCTAGTGCCTTTTTCTACTGTTAACAAAATTATCCATCAACAGCTTGTTTCCAAACAGGACTTAGCCAGTAAACTGGTACGATTCAAGAAAAAACGAGTAAATGTCTCACGCGCAGTTTGTTTAGAATCGCCTTTTCTCCTGAGAGTACTTACCATTGAAGCTGCACAAAACAGGCTTCTCAGAGCTCGTTTGGAAGGCTTGTTCCTGTCTAGGCCCTTGTTGAGCTTTTGTTTACATCACGTTTTAAAACTCAAAGAGGCATCCACAGTCATAAACCATCTCTGTTTATTTTCCTCATTCTTTTTTAGTTTTTGCATGTATAAGGCAACATCTGATAATAGTTTTAACTCACGATAAAGAGAGGTTTTTTCCCCAGACATTTAAGTAAACTTAGTATTGAAATATAAAGGTATAGTTTTGCACTCTGCGTTTTTTACTTAACCTTGCTATCGCTTTTTACTCATCCTGCTTCCACTTTAGTGAGGAGAAGCAGCTGGGGGAGCCAGGGACCCGGGAGATTTTGGTAAAGAACCATTTTTATTAGCATGACATGTTCTCTGTAAGATTTTATGTGGTAGGACATGGGTCAAATGTTAAAATTAACATTGTCAATTGTTTTGAAGACGTGTCTCAGGCATCCCAACTGCGAATCAGCCCATAAAAACAAAGAAGGGGTATTTGACCGAATGAAGGTGGCGTTGGATAAGGTCATTGAAATCGTGACTGACTGTAAACCAAATGGAGAGACTGACATTTCATCTATCAGTATTTTTACTGGAATTAGAGAATTCAAGGTGAGAGTAAAGAGAGTATATTTTGATTTTTTTTTCCATTTGGAAGTATAGTATCCACATTTTTCATTTTGTCATGTATAGTATCCATATTTTTCTATAATGTTTTAGAGTGGCATTTCACAAAAGCAAATATATCTCTTTAAAGCAGTGCCACTATGTACAAACCTAACATTCAGTAATATCTGACTTAGTGTTGTGTTTAGAAAAAATTCTGGTCTTCGATTTTAATAGCTCTTCTGGCTTTGTTTAGCTGCGTAGTAGAATTGTTGCTACCTGTTTAGAAGGATTTAGAAGGATTTTTTTTTTTTTTTTTTTTTTTTTTAAAGTCTGTTATAGGGCGCATGTGCTTGCTGGAGAGAGAGACACAGCTAGAGAGAGAGGGAAAGTGAGAAATCAGCTTCTGGGAGGATGGCTACACTGCAATCCTTCCCCTTCTCATTATTTCGGTCACAAGCACACACACTTGGAGTAACTGTCAAGCCGCGGGGTCTGGGACTCGAACACTACAGTCAGCCATGTGGGATCCACACCACCTGCTGGTCCCCTTTTTCTTGTTATTTTAGGCAGTGCCGTACCAGCCATGGATGGCGACAGTGGCAAATCATTTCTTCTGCTCTTATACTATAGGGTCGTGATTGCAGTAATGGCTGCAGTATTAACAATAATTAAAATTTAAAAATAAATAGTAATACACATCCACATTTATTTTTCTTAAAGTTTATTCATAATAGAAAAGATATGTGCATCATAAGAGAGGAAAAAAAGAGAAGTACCCTTGAGGTGGTCTCGTCCCACTACGATCTGTTTTCCCTGGCCCTCCAGTTTGTCAGGATCTTGGGCTCATGTACACACATGCATTTCATTTTCCTAGAAATGTTAATGTTGAGGGCTGACACCGTGGCCTAGTCGTTAAAGGAATTTTGATCCCACATGACTGACTATCTGAATCCCAGCCCTGGCAACTTGAAAAACATGCCAGATGTGTGTGCACAACACCACCTGCTGGTCCCCTTTTTCTTGTTATTTTAGGCAGTGCCGTACCAGCCATGGATGGCGACAGTGGCAAATCATTTCTTCTGCTCTTATACTATAGGGTCGTGATTGCAGTAATGGCTGCAGTATTAACAATAATTAAAATTTAAAAATAAATAGTAATACACATCCACATTTATTTTTCTTAAAGTTTATTCATAATAGAAAAGATATGTGCATCATAAGAGAGGAAAAAAAGAGAAGTACCCTTGAGGTGGTCTCGTCCCACTACGATCTGTTTTCCCTGGCCCTCCAGTTTGTCAGGATCTTGGGCTCATGTACACACATGCATTTCATTTTCCTAGAAATGTTAATGTTGAGGGCTGACACCGTGGCCTAGTCGTTAAAGGAATTTTGATCCCACATGACTGACTATCTGAATCCCAGCCCTGGCAACTTGAAAAACATGCCAGATGTGTGTGCACACATGCCCCAAATCCCAACAGGATGGGGAAGCGGAGAAGGGAATGTGGCATGACCATGCCCTACGGAGGGCACTTTTTCCTTCCCCTTCCTCTGTGAGTTCACACACCCTCTGTCCAAAATAAAAGAAAAAATAAATAGAAAGAAAGCAATTTTGTTGCTAAAGGAATCTTAGAGATTATTTTGTGGCTCCTTTCTTTTGAGCCTGTGGAGGCAGGGGTGGGGCTATCAAAGGTGAAGGGACAGTTAGGAAAGCAAATCGCTCTGCACCAGCTCTTTCACCTCTCGCTGCTGCATTTCTGCCCCAGGTGAGGTAGGAGCGTGCTTTACCTGCAGCTGCTCCTGCTGCTGGCCTTTTCAGTCAGGCCTTCCGGAGGGCAGAACTATAATAACAGATTCAGGTTCACTGTCAGTGGTTATCTTTTTGGCATCTTCTTTTTTCTGATGAGTTTAATCTGCAGAGAAAGACGGAATGCTCCACTCCACTGTATGTGGCACTGTGAACATGTGGACAGATCTTATGAAACCATGTGAAGAAATGGCCTTCAGAAGATCCCACAAAATTCTAAGATCTGTCTAAAAACATATGTATGTTCTCTCTAAGCAGAAAATAAAAAGCCGTAAACAGTATGAGGTCAACATGACTGATTTTTGTGTGTTGATTCTGCTTAAATTCTCAGACCTTCATTGTCAACTCCATACCTCCCTGTTAACCATGCTCTTTTAGCCTCTAGCTTAAAAAATACTTTCTGTCTACCTAGGACAGAATGGTTACTTGACACAACTTGAGCCAAGGGAAGTAGGACAACCAAGCACTTTCCTGTGACCTCTTGACCTTCTCAAACTTTGGTAGTTTCATGGGACTTGTCAAAATGGGTCATGTAAAGATTAATTGGAAGTGTTATTTATACTAGTGATAATAAGCGATCCTTATTATCACATTTACTGTGACCAGAGTCGAGACCATCACTGGTTATTGCTTCTTAGCCCAAGTTGTCTCTTTGACATATTTTGTTGGGCTAGAGGTTAAATAAGGTTGAAATGGCATATTGCATTTGAGAAGGCTGAGAGAGAGAGAAAGACTACAAGTGAGCATGTACTCATCACATCTTCAAGGGACTCTAAACACAGGATGGTGAAATGAAAGGTTGTTCAGGGGGCCGAGGAAGTGGGGGTGAGATATTGTTACAGAAATATATAAAGATAAGTGCAGAGGGACCAGCAGTTAGCGTAATGGCTATGTCACTGGACTCCCACGTAGTCGACCACGGTTCGCGTCCCGGACCTGGTGGCTTAAAGCTCACACCGGGCGCGTGTGTGTGCGTGCCCAAGATCCCGAGAGGAGAATGGAGGAGAAAGGATTGCGGTGTGGCCATCCCCCCTGGGGCTGATTTCTCACTTTCTATCTCTCTGTCTCTCTCTGTCTGTCTGGCGAGCGCACGCGCCCTATAGCAAAAACCTCTCCAAGAAAAAAAAAAAAAAGAAGATAAGTGCAGAGAAGATTTTGTCCTATACCATGGAATTTTGGGCTTAATTCTATAGCTGGTATAAAGCTGGTCTAGTGGGTTAAACCCTGGCATGGGGAGCTGGATTCCACATGGCTGACTATTGTTTGAATCCCGGCCTTGGTGGTTTGAAAATGCCCTGGGCACGTGTGCACGCATGCTCCAGATCCTGCTGGGATGGGGAAACAGAGAAACGGTGTTGTGGCATTGCCTTGCCCCATTTGGGAGGGTGCTTTCTCTCTCTCTCTCTCTCTCTCTAGTAAGAGCATGTGTTGTCTGACAATAAAACTAACAAACAAATAAGCAAAAAAAGATGGTGAGGAGCTAATAAGAATGAGGTGGCAATATTAGAAACTTTACATTTTAGAAAGATTATTTAGGCTACCTGGTTGAGGGTATTTGGGTCAATGAAGTACTGCTGAGAACGTAAAACACACACACACACACACACACACACACACACACACACACGGGGAGACGAGTTAGGTGACTAGGAGAGTTTTTACTGAATTAATTAAGGACAAATTGATGCCTCTCCTAGTCTCACACTCCACGCCTTCCATACCTGTTCCCCCAGGACTCAGCACGTAGTCATATCTGGGTGTAACATGTCTTCCAGAACTTTGCCTAGGCGTTTTTTTAGATGCAAATCCTTTGCCTGGAGGCTGGCTGAGTTTTTCTACTAGTTGTTACATGATGACTTTTTTTTTTTCTGCCTGAGTTTTCATTGCTCTCAGGAATGTCTTGTATTAATAACTCTAGGAATGAAGCTTTGCAGGGCCAAGGATGGCTCTTGATCATTGTATCCTCCCAGGTTAGTGGAGAATATAGTTATTATTGGAGGCTGTATTTCCCTCAGCCTGGGGAAGACATTGCCTGTATTTTCCTGGTCACTGTTAGAAATGACAGCCCAGGGACCAGCAGATGGCATAATGGTTACGTTGCTGGACTTCCACATAGTCAACCGTGGTTTGAGTCCTGGACCCAGCAGTTTAAAACTCACATCGAGCGCTTGTGTGTGTGTGTCCCCAAAATCCAAAGAGGAGGAGGGATTGTGGCCTGGCCTTCCCCCTGTGGGAGTGGGGGGGTGGGGTGATTTCTCACTTTCTGTCTCTCTATCTCTGTCTCTATGGTGAGTACATGTGCCCTATAACAAAAATCTCCCCACCCCCATCCCAACCCCCCAAATAAAAGACAGCCCATTTTGGTTGGATGGGGATATTAGTTCACGTGGATGGTATATCCTTTTTGTCTTCAGGTGAGCATTGAAGCTCTTCAGGAGAATCTCTATTTTCAGTCCAAAGAGAACCTTTCTGCAACATTGGAAGTCATCTTGGAGCGTACGGAGGACTTCACGGACTCTGCCTACACCAGCCATGAGCACAGGGAGCGCATCTTGGAACTGTCAACTCAGGCGAGAATGGAACTGCAGCAGTTCATTTCTGTGTGGCTTCAAGCTGTAAGAACTTTTTTCATCAAAGTAAATCTTACGTATTAGCTTTCCTCTAAAGTTTTGAAAGGCGAAGCTCACATAATCACCAGGAGCATGAATTTAATCCAGAATGCGACAAAGATGTCTCATCCCTTTTCTCCCTCCTAGTTGGCCAAATATTTTATCCCATCTACCACTCACCTGACATTTCCAGGTCCTTTGTTTTTCATCATGGCCAGCCTGGATTCTGTGCCATCGTCACCATCCGTATTTCACCTTATTGTCCCCGTTCTTCCACCAAACTCACCTCTGGAAAATTCCTCCCCAAAATACTTCTTCAGAGTGAAGAGCAGAGGAGTAGACCCCTACCTTGAGGTTCTTGGGACCTGAGTCTTACTGCTGGAGCCATTCAGATGTGCACAATTCTTACTGAGGAGAGCTGATTTACAGACACAACACTTTAGAAAACTTATTGAGGTCTAGATGAAATGAAGACAAGGGTAGATCCAGCTGGCAGGTAAAAGATTTTTCACACTTGCACAGATTCCTGGTCTAAAATCGGTGGGCAGCCACTTCATGAGCCTGAAATAGGCTGCCGGTGTGCTCAAAGCATGGGCGGTTATCTGGGCACCAGTGGTAAAGACGGACAGGAGGGGGACAGCATAGGAAGTGTCTACCCAAGCTTGTATAGAGAGTGGGTTACACAGTGGAGGGACAGAGGCCTGGGACATGTCATTGGCACCATTTATTTATTTCTTAGACCCCAGATCCATGGAAGAAAATTATTTGATATGTTTATAACAGAGAGAGAACAGATCTGGAAGTCATAAACAAAAGCATTGGAGGAAGGACAGAAAAAGGAGGGCGATTAAGACTGATTGTGAAGAAAGCAGTTATAAGCGGTTTACTTCCCTGCGAAAAGAGTGATTGATGAATAATGAGTAATATGCATCACAGATTTCTGGGATATTTTCTTGGCATCACAACAGTTATTAGCAGGGAATCTTTCCCTCGAGTAGTTGTGTAAGAGATGTGAGTCATTTAATTACCTGTGTGATCTAATCTACAGTGTAGATTGCTTCAGCACTAAATTTTAAACCTAACATTTGATATAAAGTTGTGCTGGGAATTTGATTCTGTCTGTCTTATATAAGCAATTTGCACCCTTCACGTATTTCACCAGCACTTAGTTCTCTGATTCTACATGCCTGATATATTTTTCACTCTTTTTTTTTTTTTTTAGCAATTGTTTTTAAAGTTCTCTTCATATGCCAGGCATCAGAAATCTAAAAATGAATAAGATAAAATCTTTGCCTGCAAAGATTTTATTATACCTACAGAAAAATGTGGGAAGAGGGGGAATTGAGTAAGAAAGCTTTGCTAAGTGTCCTCAGAGAAGCTAGATACTGTGTGTTGAGGGAGTTTGAAAGAAGGCGAATCTTTATTTAGGGAGAAGAATTAAGAGTCTTTATAAACAGGCCAGCAGGTGGTGTGGTGGTTAAAAGTGCTGGACATAGCCGACCATGGTTCAAGTCCCGGACCCGGCGACTTGTTTTCTCACTTCCCTCTCTCTCTTTCTCTGTCTCTCTCTGATCAAACTGGAAAATAATAATAAATAAAGTTAAGTAAAATAATTCTTTTTTTTTTTTTAAAGAGTCTTTATAATGTCACTGACATTTAGCTGATTTACTCATTGAAAGATCTGAACACCTGCTTCCTACTGTTTGCTGTGCCGGTACTGAGGACACAGCGCTGAGCGAAATAGTCAGGATACCAGCTTAGTGGAGCTTACACATACCTAATGGGGAAGATAGAGTTTAGACAAAAAAATACCCAAATATGTAATTGCAAACTGGGATGATCACTTAAAGATTAGAATGGTAATAAAAGAGTCTAATTTAGATTTAAATCTGAGAAGGTCTTTCTGAGAAAGAGACATATGCATAAGGCCTTAAAGATAAATAGGATTTTGGGGCCAACAGGTGGCATAGTAGTTATGGTGCTGGACTTCTATGTGGCTGGCTGTGGTTCAAGCCCTGGACTTGGTGACTTGAAACTCATGCCAGGCACATGTGCATGCATGTCTCAAATCCTGAGAAGAGAATGGAGGACAAGGGGTTATGGCATGGCCAGCCTCACAGTGGGGTAATTTCACGCTTTCTATCTCTCTGTCTTTCTTTGTTCCTCCAACGAGTGCACATGCCCTATAGCAAAAATCTCTCAAAAAAGATAAATAGGACTTTAATTTTTAACTAGGTTAAGAGTGAATAGATGAATATTCTAGGCAGAAAATACAAGAGATTAGTTTGAGATGTGATGACTTAAAGAAAATTAGGCCTTAAAATTGACCTGTTTATAGTTAGTATGAAAAAATATAACTAAAATTCTCTTTAACCTTCAATAGGTGAATTTTAAAAATCTACTTAGAACAGAATGATAATGAAATTTGCTGTAATTTATAGTTCATATAAAATTGGGATAAACAGATTAAAAATGAGGTAACAATATATATGTTTCCTTTTTAAATTTTTTTTTTTAGCAAAGTAAGAAAACAAAAAGCATCGCTGAAGAACTGGAACTCACTATTTTGAAAATCAGTCATAGTCTCAATGAACTTAAGAAAGAAGTAAGTAGAGTTCGAATTTTAGCCTCTTATAATTCTTTGCTAATTTTCATGTTGTATGGTATGGATTAAATGCAGTAGTATTTTCCTGTGTCTCAAAAAAATGGTTTTAGGGGGCCAGCAGGTGGTGTGATGGTTAAGGGCACTATACTCTCACATGGCTGTCCACAGTTCGAGTCCCGAAGGTGGCTTGCTTTCTCGCTTTCCCTCTCTCTCTCTTTCTCACTCTGTCCCTCACTGATAAAAATTAAAATAAATAAATAAATAAAAACAAATAACATTTTAAAATATGATTTTAAAGTTTTCCTTTGACGTCTTTATGTCAGTGTCACCATTTTGTTAGTGCCATCTCAAAGCTGATATACAAATGTTCATGGCAGCTTTATTCATAGCAGCTCCAAACTGGAAACTTGAATTTCCATCAACAAGGACATTGCTAAATGAATTCTGATATAACTTTACCAAATACTATTCAGCAATCAAATGGAACTATATTGATACATGCAACAATATGGATGAATCACTAAAATCGTTTGAGTAAAGGCAGCCAGGCATAAGAGGGTATATATTTATGCTTGATTGCATTTAGAAAAGATTCTAAAAAAGCACAACTAATTTATGATGGCAGAAATCAGATTAGTGGCTGTTTGCATTTAGAAACTGGAGAATATTTACTACAAAGATCGTAGAAAGACTTTTTGGGATAATGGGAATGTTTGTAATATTGATTGGAGATGGTGGTTACATTTCTGTGCATGTTTATCAAAACTTACTAAGTTACAGCTTTAAAATGGGTAAACTCTGAGGGGCTGTTAGGCAACATGGTGGTTAAGGTGTTAAATTCCCACGTGGCCAGCCTTGTTTCAAGTCCTGGACCTAGTGGCCTGAAAAAACACCCTGGGCATGTGCATGTGCACGCCCAGGATCCTGAGAAGAGAATAGAGGAGAAAGGATTGTGGTGTGGTCAGCCTCCTGGGAGTGATTTCTCCCTTGCCCCCTCACTGTCTCGCTCTCTCTTTGGTGAGTGCATGTACCCTATGACAAACCTCCCCCACCCCAAAAAAAAGAGCCAGCAAGTAGCAGAGTGGTTAAGGCGCTGGAATCCCACATGACTGACTGCAGTTTGAGTCCCAGACCTTCTGGCTTGGAAATCATGTTGGGTGTGTATGTAGGTATGCCCAAATTCCCAGGAGTATAAAGGATTTAGGTGTGGCATTCCCCATGGGGGATGATTTCATCCTTTTCCTCTCACTGTCTCTTTCTGTCTCTTTGGCGAAGACATGTACCCTATGGTCAAAAATAGAGAGAGAGGGTAAGCTTTGTTGTGTGTAAATTATACCTCACTAAAATTGATTTTTAGGTCTAGCCTTATAGCTCAGTGATCAAAGCAGTCAGTTCCCACAAGAGCGATCATGGTTTGAATCCCAGTTCCAGTTGCTTAAAAAAAACACTCAAGGTGTATGTACATGAGTGCTCAAAATTCTGACAAGATGGAGAAATAGAGAAGAGATTGTGGTATGGCTATTGTGTCATGGGGCAGGGAGGGGTGCTTTCTCTCACTCTCTGTCTTTGTCTCTGGCCAGTGCAAGTGTGCTCTGGTAATTAAAAAAAAAAAAAAAGTGTTAAAAGAAAGGTTGATTTTTTAAAAAGAATTATTTACTTATTTAATTCCATTTTTGTTGTTGTTAATTTGACCAGAGAGCGAGAGAAAGGGAAAGCAAGAAAGCAAGCCACCAGGTCCGGAACCTGAACTGTAGTCTGCTACATGGGAGTCCAGCACCTCAATCACCATGCCAAGTGCTAGCCCCCAAAAGTTGACTTTTAAAATATTCTTTTGGTTGAGAAGATTTCCCTAGTTCCTGAATGAAAATTTGGTCATTGCACAGCTTATTTGGCCATGATCAGGTAATTGAAAGCCCTATTGTCACTTAAAGTCGGGAGTTCAAAAACAGTGACTGGGCTGTTTTTGTACATGGAGGTTTTCGGAACACAGTCCTGCCCATTGTGTGTATATTGTCTACTATTTTCTTACTACAACAGCAGAATTGTTAGTTGCAATAGAGCTATGTGGTCTGAAAAGTCTAAATATTTACTGTCTGGCCCTTTACACAAAAATGGTTGCCAGGTACTGTTTTCGGTCATGAAACACAATCTAAGTTCAAAAACAGAATGTTCACTTCAGTAGGACGAAGAGTGTTTTAATCTTCCTTCCATGTAGGACTTCTCCCCTGGTCCCCACTCTCCCAGTCCCATTCAGAGCTTTGGTCACTTTTCCCATTTTCCCTCCCCTCACCCTTTACTGTGTAGCTGCTGTTCCTGACTTTTGCCCTGTTGCAGCCCAGGAAGTGAAGAGCTAAGTGGGGAGGGGAAGTTCTCAGCAACCAGTCGCCTCATAAGATAACTTTGGGCTTGTTAGACGTTTCAGGGTGATGTTCTTTCTGATGTGTGGTTGAGTGTCTTCTGAGCTGTCTTCCTGTCCTCTACTTCTTTTTCTGCAACTCCCATATCATGGTGTCCTCCACTTTGAGGTGTGCCCAGAGGTGAGGCTCACAGTAAACACCCATCAGCTCTCTACACAGATCCTCCTCACAAATACTTCTTTTGGGGCTGGCAGGTGGCGTGGTAGTTAAAGGGCTCAGGACTTCCACATGGGTGGCTATGATCTGCATCCTGGACCTGGTGGCTTGCTTTCCCACTTTGCCCCTCTCTCTCCCTCCCTCATTCTGTCCTTCTCTGGTCAAATTAAAATGAATTAATTAAAGTTAAATAAAATAATTCTTTAAAAAAAAAAACTTATCCCTTACCTCTATAATTTCTTAATTCTGTTGTGTGTGTGTGTGTGTGTGTGTGTGTGTGTGTGCGTGTTGTAAGAGGATGCATGCGCTTGCCAGAGAGAGAGGCAGAGATACAAAGCGAGGGAGAGGAGAAATCATTTCCCTATGGGGTGTGGTCACACTGTCCTTTTCTCTTCTCTATTTCTTCTTCCTGTCGAGATTTGGGGCACACACATAAGCCCCTGCATGTTTTTCAAACTGCCAGGGCTGAGATTTGAATTGCACAGTTGGCTAGGTGGGACCTAGCTCCCTTAGCCACCAGGTGACTGGGCCGGCCCAATTCTGTTATATATTTAAAGAGGGTCTAAAGCTCAAGAGAATGAAATTGGTTTTAGATCTTCTTTGTAATTATGTGCATGGTGAGCTGTCTCACATTTTTGTTAGTGACACTGCTATTGAAACTTCCATTTATCTATTAAAACCGCCATTTAAACATTCTGTTAAACATAGAAGGACCTGGTTTCCTATGCTTTAAAAAATGTCGACCCAGGGACCAGCAGATGGCATAATGGTTATGTTGCTGGACTCCCACATGACCAACTGCAGTTCAAGCCTGGGACCTGGAGCTTGAAACTCACACTGGGCATGTATATATGTGTGCCCCAAATCCCAAGATAAGAATGGAAGAGAAGGGATTGTGGTGTGGCTATCTCCCCTCAGGGGGTGATGTCTCACTTTTGTCTCTCTGGCAAGTGAATGTACCCATTTTATCCCAGCCTATTTGATTTTAGGTAAACTGTAAAATTTCTGACTATCGCTACAGTGTGAAATCTTGGTGACAGGCTGAGTGATGGTCCACAGGTTTCATTTTCCTTACCTCTTCAGTGGGTGTAACCACTGCAACTTTGAGGAATTCTTGTAAGGATCAAGGGAGACAGTGTGTATACAGCTGCTGTCAGGACGTGTCACAGAGTGGGGACTTTGTGTTTTCTCTCTTCCTTCCTTATGTTGTCACTGTGTTGCCTCCAGAACCATTTGTAAAATGTACGTGACCCTAGCTGATCACTCAATCTCTATGGACCTGTTTTCATCATCTATAAAATAAAGGATTGGCATTAGATATTCTCCAAGGCCCTGCTGCTTGACAAAATCTTTTAAAAATTTCATGTGACATTTAGTTTCCAAAGGAAAGTGAACTTGAATGTCTTTGTTTCTGACTGTAGTTATTTTCGCTTGGTTGGATGAATGCAGACTATCCTATTGTTAATTTTGTGGAAAGTCCTGTAATTTGAATTGACATTGGATTACTTCCAGGAAAAAAAAAAAAAAGGAACTGCTTCATTCAAATAGGAGTAAAAATCAGATATTTCTCAGAGCAATGTTATTAAAAATGATTTCTTTCTAAACAAACCCAAATTAATCTGTCATATCATTTTGAAAAAGAGGGGTGGCGGAGGCAGAATAAAAAGAAAAGGTTTTAGAGTTAATAGTGTCCAAAGATATCAAGTGAGAGTGAGCCATACTTAAAATTTATCTTCCCAAAGTCAAATTAAACCTCTGGGTTTTTGTTACCCTTTTGTCTGTTGTGTCTTCTGAGACTTCATTTGTTCATAGAATTAGACAATAAGGTTGTGGGTAGCAATTAAAAATAGACTATAGGGACTTGAAAAGCTCATGGGAAGTACACATTGTGAATAAAACTGGGCATGGATTTCAAAGTTGTTTTGCACCAGAGTAAACTTGTACTTTAATTCCATTTGTCCACACATTTTCTGAAATTCCCTCATATAAACCCCCAGAGGGCAGGGGTCGTGACCTGCTTGTCAAGTATACCCAGCCTCTAGTGCTGTGCCACGATGTGTAGTAAAATGTTACTGAGTATTTATCTGACTGAATCCCATACTGATGCTTTTACAAAAGTACATTAAAAAATTAATGACTCCGGGACCAGCAGTTAGCATAATGGCTATGCTGCTGGACTCCCATGTAGTCGACCGCGGTTCGTGTCCTGGACCCAGTGGCTTAAAACTCACGCTGAGCGCATGTGTGTGCATGCCCAAGATCCCGAGAGGAGAATGGAGGAAAAGGGATTATGGCGTGGCCATCCCCCCAGGGGGTGATTTCTCGCTTTCTATCTCTCTGTCTCTCTGTCTGGTGAGCGCATGCGCCCTATAGTAAAAAAAACCTCTCCCCCCCCCAAAAAAAAATTAATGATCCTTAGCTGTTGTTTGATTTTCCACTTAGTACACTGTTAAGACTGCTTTATTTTCACCAACTTTTATAGGAACAGAGGCTTTAAAAAAATTTTTTTAGGGAGATTTTTGCTATAAGAGCATGTGTTCACCAGAGACAAAGAGAGAAAGAGAGAAATCACCCCCCTTCCCCTGGGTGGAATTATAGCCATGCCATAATTCCTTCTTCATTTTCTTCTTGTGATTTTGGGCACGTACTCACATGTGCCTGGCATGAATTTCAAGCCACTGGGTCCAGGACTCATACTGCCATCTGCCATGTGAGAGCCCAGTGCCTTAACCACCACACCACCTGCTGGCCCAGCAGAAGTATTTTTTAACTAAGAGAAACTTGTGGGAAAGAGCAGCCCAATAAGAGGATAGAAAAGGACCAAGCTATTCACCCGCTGATGGCCAGTTCATCTTCTAGCTCTTGGGGATTCAAAGGTGAACTGGACATGGCGGAACTTACACGCTCCCAGTGCTACACAACTTCTGCCGTGGCGAGCTTTATGCTTTTCCCTCGGTGGGTCAAGTGGAACTGCTTGAAGATTTCCACGCTTTAGTTTTTAAAATGTTCACGAGGTCCTTGTTCATAACCCCTTACTGTTTGTTTTCTCTCCTGCTTCACCCTTCACCCTCCACATCTGCAGCTTCATAGTACAGCAACACAGCTGGCAGCAGATCTGTTGAAATACCATGCTGATCATGTGGTTCTAAAAGCATTAAAAGTTACTGGAGTAGAAGGAAATTTAGAAGCTTTGGCTGAGTATGCCTGTAAACTCTCGGAACAAAAAGAACAGCTTGTTGAGGTGAGTAATAGATTTGCGCGCTAAAGAAATTACAATAATTGTTTAAACAATAGCTTTGCTATCATGAGGAAATATGAACACACAGAGTTTTTGGTTAATTTATCTGGGCATTTTCTCTCTCTGCTTTGAAATCTTAACGGTATAGCCCATATTTGTTCTGTTCTTGTAACAGCATAGCCCCTAAAACAAAACAACAAAACATGCTGGAATTCACAAATACACTTGTTAATCTTCTTTTCCTTATCCTCTCAGAGCGACCAGCCCTTGGAGCAGAGCTACGGGCGTGTGCTGTGTGACCTTGTTTCTGTTTGACTCTGTCAGGGTTTGAGCAGGAAGGACATGCACTCAGATTAGGATAATTTATGGAGCTTGAATAAAAGAGCTATTTACAGTCACAGACCCAGAGGAGGAGGCAACCATAGGGAGAGGACAGTAACTGAGTCTAGTGGACAACAGAGCTGCTACCACTCCCCAGGCCTAAGTAAACAGGGGACAGTAGAACCTGAAAATCATTCAGAAACTGCTTTTGAGAGGTTGTGATTCTAAGACTGGACACATTAACAACCCAAGGTGGCCCTGCAGAGGAGCGTGGGAGTGAAGGCCCTTTCTCTCAACCCTGCTGATCTATTGCTGAGGTTTCTCATTGGCCCAACACAGGACAGAACGTAGGTTTGAGAAGGGAGCGGAGTGGAGGAGAGACAGAACACATGCAGCACACATCCGTCTCCGAGTCTCTCCTCTCCTGCCCGAGTGTATCTGCTATTGGTACTTCATCACTTTCGTTACAGTCCCCCTTGGCTTATTAACTAATACGTCAGATATCTGCTCGTGGAAAAAAGAAAAAATGCAATCTATGTATATTTTGTTTAGTATGGGGCATGTCCTAGGCAACATGTAAATAAATGCACAGGTAGAATCATCTAGCTGTCTTCATGATGGCTGATATTCCCTCCACACAGGCCACGAAGACTATTGGTTAGAAGCTACACTTAGACTTAACCGGACTAGCTTCTTCTCCTTGGCTTGTTTACATAGCAGCCTGGAGACTTCTAGAGAATATTGGAAAAAGATATATTTCATTTATTTGGTAAATTTGATGCTGCTTTGTTTATAAATGAAATATTATGATTATAGAAAAAATTTTATAAATTTTAGGAATTCTATAACAAATTTTTTAATAGTGAAAAAAATATGTATTTTGTTTTAAGCCTCAAGATTTTCAATAATATCCTCTGGTATAGACTCTGTATACATTACACCAGTCTACCTAATTCACTGCTCTCTCCAGCAAAATCTGTGCTTAGTTAATTGATAATTAGGAGGAAGTATTATTTGTTGATAGAATCTATAACATGTGAGAGAGAGAAAGGGGGAGAGAGAGAGACAGACAGACAGACACTCTTCACAGGGTCTGGTCATCCTGCAATCCCCTTCCTCCAGTTCTCCAGCCTGTCATGTGTACCTAGTGTGTTTTAGGCTGATGGGACCATATAGATAGATAGCTAGATAGATAGATATAGATATAGATATAGATATAGATATATCTCGCTTGTAGTAACTCTGACATAGTTCACCCAAGTGGCACTTTGGGTAGGACATATTAAATGTGTGGGCACTGCTAGATCCTTCCCTCCTTCCTTCATTTCCTCCTTGCCTCCCTCCTTTCCTTTTTTCTTTCGTTTTGCCAAAGGGTGTATGTGCTTGCCAGAGACAGAGAAGAGAGAGAGAAGGAAAGTGAGAAAGCACCCTCCGTGATAAAGTCATGCTGCAATCCCCTCTCTTCCATTTCTCCCTCCTTTTAGGTTTTGGGCATGCATACACACGCACCCAATATGTTTACGGCACTGGGTCTGGGACTCGAATCACACCGTTGGCCGTGTGGGATCTAGCTACCTTAACCACTAGGCCCCCAACTGGCCCCCTAGATCCTTTCAGGGATGTCTGTGGTTCTAATAGTCTGATCACCTTGTCATCAGATAAGTGGTAGAAATAATTAAATAAATAATAATAAAGGTAAAATAATACCTTTATTTATCTTTCTCAGTAATGTATACATTTATTTTTATATATTTTAATAAATTTTTATATGTAAGGTTTTTTTTTTTTGATGATAAAACGAGACCATGTATTGTAAAGAATGAGAATGTAGAAGTCAAACGTAGGTATGTTTTCTCGTAGACCTGCCGATTGTTGCGACACGTATCTGGGACAGAACCTCTTGAAATAACGTGTATACACGCAGAGGAGACATTTCAGGTGACTGGCCAACAGGTATGAAAGATAACAGCACATTATTCCTACCATGTTATGTCTCGTCTGAGTGTCAGAACAAATTGTGTGGCAAGTGTAAATGGTTCTGCATAACTGGAGGCCAAGTCTACTGAGAGGAGAAAGCTGATGGAGGTTTCATTGATAGTGTGTCAGAACACGGCTGACATCCCACTGGTTTAGCTGGTCATCTGTCAAAGTGGAGATTGACCCATGTAACTGATGCCCTGGTTTACATCTGTTATAAATGAAGCTGTGTACAATGCAGGTTGTTATAACATGTTTGGAAAGTAAGTTATCATTATGTAATGAGCAATAAAAAGTATTTACACAGGTCAGTCTAATAATCTAAAGATATTTGGAGATTGGAAACCAAACAAAATGTTTATTCCAATACGACTTATAAAAAGATTCAATTTGGAGCAAAATAGCTATTATGAATTAGGGAAATAAGATATCATGATGTTAAAATAATAATTATGTTCAGAATTAGCAATATCAAAAGTCTAAGGGACCAGCAGATGGCATAATGGTTATGCTGCTGGACTCCCACATGGTCACTCACAGTTCGAGTCCCAGACCTGGCGGCTTGGAACTCACCCTGGGTATGTATGTGTGCATGTCCAAAATCCCTAGAGGAGAAGGGATTGTGGCATGGCCATCCCTCCTTGGGGGGCAAATGTTTGCTTTCTGTCTGTCTCTTCAGTGAGCACATGTGCCCTATAGCAAAAATCTCTCTAAAAGAAATTTGTTAAAATGTTAACTGATGGGACCAGCAGATGGCATAGCAGTTATGTTGTTGTACTCCCACATGATCGACCACATTTCAAGTCCTGAACCTGGTGGCTTGAAAATCACTCTGGGTGCATGTGAATGGGTACCCAAGATCTCAGGGGGAGAATGGAGCAGAAGGGATTGTGGCATGGCCATTCCCCTGGGGGTGATTTCTCACTTTCCTTCTCACTGTCCTCTGTCTCTACAGTGAGTACACATGCCCTAAGGCAAAAACCTTTAAAAATGTTAACTGAAAAAGGCAAGATACAGATTTGCATATAATTGCTGCTATGTGTATGAAAATGACTATATGGGAATATACAGAAATGAGACTTCTGGTGGGGAAGATTGTGAGTCTTTTTTTCTTAATTTCGTGTAGTATTACTTTGCCTTTATAATTTTCAAAAGCCTTTATTTTTAAGAGGTTTTTACCATAGGACATGTGTGCTTGTCTGAGAGACTGAGAGACAGAAACATTGAGAGGGGAAGTGAGAAATCACCCCCAATCCTCTCCATTCTCCTCCTGGAATCTTAGGCATGCATGCACATGTACCCAGCATGATTTTCAAGCTACCAGATCTGGGACTCAAACTGCAATTGGCCATGTGGGAGTCTAGCAACATAACCACTACACCATCTGTTGGCCCCTCAAAAGCCTTTTTAAAACTGATAGCCCATTTAATACTGTCCCTGTTAAATTAACCTATAGAAAAAAAGTAAAAGAGGGATCAGCAGTTAGTGTAATGGCTATGTCGCTGGACTCCCATGTAGTCCACCGTGGTTCAAGTCCTGGACCCGGCGGCTTAAACTCACATCGGGCGCGTGTGCGTGCGTGCCCAAGATCCCAAGAGGAGAATGGAGGAGAAGGGATTGCAGTGTGGCCATCCCCCTGGAGGGTGATTTCTCGCTTTCTATCTCTTTGTCTCTTTCAGTCTTTCTGGTGAGCGCACGTGCCCTGTAGCGAAAACCTCTCTGAAAAAAAAGAAAAAAAGTAAAGGACAGATGACCTTCTCTTTCCAAGTCCATGCTCTGAAATACAGTTTTCCAGACATTCATATTTCAACCAAAAGGACTTGGTCTAAAATAATATTGGATGGCAGATGTTGAGCCCCTGGATTGTTGTTGTTGTTGTTTATAGTTGAGAGCAGTGAGACTGACTTAGACACCTCAGAACCTTGTTGGATGTTGGAGGAATGATCAGGTGTTCCCCCAGAGAGGACAGGGTCAAAGCCTCTCAGAGAAGCAGGAGCTGCCTGAGTGAACCACTCGCAGTGATTATCTGCTGCACACTGCATTACAACCGGGAGAAATGTGTTTACTGGGAGAAGCCCAGGCTTCTGTAGTTGCTTGTCTACATGGGAGTCACCCTGTGTGCTTTGGCTACTCTTGAACAACATGACTTTGAATCGTGCTGGTCCACTGATATGTGCATATTTTTCAATACATACACTGGAAAGGACAGTACAGTGCTGTAATTTTTTTTCTTCCTTATGATTTTCTTAATAACATTCTTTTCTCTGGCTTACTTTATGGTAAGAATATAGCATGCAATATTTATAACATTAAAAGTGTGATAATTGGCTGTTAATGTTATGAAAATTTCTAGTCAATAGTAGGTTATTAATGGTGGTTGTTTTGGTGGATTCAAAAGTTACATGTGGATTTTTGATTGTGTGGGGGAGTTGGCATCTTCAACCTCCACCTTGTTCAAGCGTCAGCTGTATTTCAGTACAACTGGAGGGCTAGATTCTCATGCTCTTTGCATCAGCTCTTGTTCCTGTTCTCAGGCCCTCTTGTTATTGGGTTGAGACTTTCAGCTTACTGTTTCTCTTGCAGCAGGTATTAGGAATAGCCATATTTTCTTCCCCAGTATGTGGTAGATACTGTGGTTAATAACTTCTATAACTTGAGAAGTTTTTCTATTGCCATGATTTCAGCTTTCACTCTTAGTCTTTGCCATCTGTCTCACAAAAATGATAATTTAAGGAACTAGAGTATCCTCTGAGATCATTATGTTTATTTCTGGATACTTGTACTTTAGAGATAAATTTTTTATCTTTCCTTTAAAATGTTAGACCCTGTTCAGGACACAGCTGCATAGTTTGCACATGATGCAAAGGTCCCAAGCTGAGAGAGCAACAACACTGAAAGCTACCTGCAGTCCACTGGCAAGCCCACTTTCTCTGAAGGAGGGTCCTGCTCTTTTCATAGAGGAGCCATGTGCTTGGCAAGCCCTGTGCCTGTGGGCCTCTGTGCACCCTGGAGGGGCATCTAGTTCTGATTCGTCCAAATGTACCAGCCGTATCAGTGAGCATGGCCGTGCACATCTGCCTTCTGCAAACTCTCAATGACTTCCTTTCTCACTCAGAGGAAAATCTAATCTATGCCATGTGTGTTTCGCCGTTACACGGCCACTGGAACTTCCCTCTTGCCCATGTCAGTCTGTCATTCTGTGTACCTGCTGTTCTTCAGACACACCCGAAATGCCTCCACCTCATCTTAAATGACTTCATCTAGATTTTCCATGCCTCCCTCACCTTCTCAGTGACCATCTAACTTGAAATACTATTGTCCCCTAATACTCTCCATCCTCCTTACTGTGTCTTTCTCTCTATCTGTCTGTCTGTTCATTCAAACAGGGTCTTCCTGTGTTGTGATCTTTCTGCAAGTGTGATAATTGGCTGTTAATGTTATGAAAATTTCTAGTCAATAGTAGGTTATTAATGGTGGTTGTTTTGGTGGATTCAAAAGTTACATGTGGATTTTTGATTGTGTGGGGGAGTTGGCATCTTCAACCTCCACCTTGTTCAAGCGTCAGCTGTATTTCAGTACAACTGGAGGGCTAGATTCTCATGCTCTTTGCATCAGCTCTTGTTCCTGTTCTCAGGCCCTCTTGTTATTGGGTTGAGACTTTCAGCTTACTGTTTCTCTTGCAGCAGGTATTAGGAATAGCCATATTTTCTTCCCCAGTATGTGGTAGATACTGTGGTTAATAACTTCTATAACTTGAGAAGTTTTTCTATTGCCATGATTTCAGCTTTCACTCTTAGTCTTTGCCATCTGTCTCACAAAAATGATAATTTAAGGAACTAGAGTATCCTCTGAGATCATTATGTTTATTTCTGGATACTTGTACTTTAGAGATAAATTTTTTATCTTTCCTTTAAAATGTTAGACCCTGTTCAGGACACAGCTGCATAGTTTGCACATGATGCAAAGGTCCCAAGCTGAGAGAGCAACAACACTGAAAGCTACCTGCAGTCCACTGGCAAGCCCACTTTCTCTGAAGGAGGGTCCTGCTCTTTTCATAGAGGAGCCATGTGCTTGGCAAGCCCTGTGCCTGTGGGCCTCTGTGCACCCTGGAGGGGCATCTAGTTCTGATTCATCCAAATGTACCAGCCGTATCAGTGAGCATGGCCGTGCACATCTGCCTTCTGCAAACTCTCAATGACTTCCTTTCTCACTCAGAGGAAAATCTAATCTATGCCATGTGTGTTTCGCCGTTACACGGCCACTGGAACTTCCCTCTTGCCCATGTCAGTCTGTCATTCTGTGTACCTGCTGTTCTTCAGACACACCCGAAATGCCTCCACCTCATCTTAAATGACTTCATCTAGATTTTCCATGCCTCCCTCACCTTCTCAGTGACCATCTAACTTGAAATACTATTGTCCCCTAATACTCTCCATCCTCCTTACTGTGTCTTTCTCTCTATCTGTCTGTCTGTTCATTCAAACAGGGTCTTCCTGTGTTGTGATCTTTCTGCCTCAGCCTCCCAAGTAGTTGGGACTATAAGTTGCCACCACATCTGGCTTTTAGTGTGGTCTGGGCATTGAACCTGGGCCTCCCAGGTAGCCTCAGCCTACTGAGTAGCAAAATCTGCCAGTGTGTGTTACCATAGTTGGTCCCTTGTTCTTTATATATATCATCTATCCCAATATAATATCGTATAACTTAATTATGTAATTTATGTAACTATGTCTTCACAAGACTTACATTATGAGGGAAGACAAGTAAAACTCACATTATCTATTTCATTCAGAGCTGTTTCATCCGCTGTAACATGGGCATAGTGCCTAGCACATAGTATGCACCGTGTCCTCTATATGTATTAGCTATGTGAGGAGACTTCCAAAAGTTCATGAAAGGTAGAGTTAAAATATGAGTTTGCCTTCATACAGAAATATTTTGAAATCTATGCATACTTTTTTTTTTAGTTGCTAGAGGGTGCATGTGCTCATCAGAGAGAGACAGGGAGACAGATAATGAGAAAGCACCCCCTACTGGGGCATAATGCATACTGTTTATATATAGGTCAGATTATAACAGCAAGCCTTGTTCTACTTGCCTTCACATTGCTCAACATGTAACTTGTGTGGGGAAATTACTTCTAATTACTTCCACAACTATGAAGTAATTTCATAGTTGTTAATGAATTGATTCAAGCAATTCAGACTACTTAACTTTGGTCTCCAATGTGATTCTGAGAGCTAAGATACCAATGTATTTTTGTCTCCTTAGATCATTTCCGCTGCGGAAACACTGACATTGCATCCGTCTAGTAAAATTGCGAAAGAAAACTTGGATGTATTTTGTGAAGCTTGGGAGTCCCAAATTAGTGACATGTCAACACTGCTAAGAGAAATCAATGATGTGTTTGAAGGAAGAAGAGGTGAGAATCTGTCCACATATTGAATGATATTATTGTTTTATGTAACTATTAGTTTTTTAATGTCAAACCTCAGACACAGAATGGTTGTTACAACCCAATTGGCTTATTTTTATAGTAAAATGTCTTACAGAAAAATGACAAAAATATAATTTTGTCCTTTATTTTAGTATCTAAGCAGTAAAATGTGTTGTAAACAGGGAGTAGATTTCTCTGAATCAATATGAATATTCTTGTTTTCCTATTGAAACTATTTTTTTATTTCTTCTAAATTTTGTTTAGTTTTAGTACAAAAGCTTTTTAAAAGTATAGTAATTCTCTGCTCTAATTCTACTACCTTCATAATGAAATGAATGTAGTTATTTGATTTTTGAATTGCTTTCCTACCACCTGGATGGGATCTCTTTCCTTGATGACTACATATCTTGGAATATTGCCTGTGGTGGGTAAGTTCATTGGTATTTCCACAACATGTAGAATAGCACCTACAATGTATAGGAAGGCATCGTTTTTATTCTTTATTTTAATATCAACAAGGAGTTTTATTTATTTTTCCATTGTATTATGTGTCCTGTTATTTATGTTTATGTTCTTATATATTTTTCCCTTCAAATGGCTTCTGTTAGTATCAAAGCATGCTTTTTTAAAAAAATAAAGTGTCGTTTAAAATCATAACATCAAATTATAAAATTATTTTTACTGACTATGCACATTTAATCATTACTAAATTAAAAAATACTCGTTTAAGTTCAATGTTTATTGGCTTCAAAGTTAGGGAATGGTGGACTCTGTAACTAGAACTTCATTCATAAAGCATAATAAATGTTGACCATGCTTCCGCATTGAAAGATTTCCATGATAGCTAGTCTACTTTCATAAAGTATTTGATGCTCTGATAAAGTATATCTAGCCACATGGACTTTTATTACTGGGAGAGACAGAGTTCACATGTGGAAGGGTGAAGTGATGGAATCAATCTGCAGTGAAGGAAGGATGGTCACCTGGCTGTAGGAGTTAGGGAATGAAGAGCG